CTCCTTCCCCCAAATGTGTTGCTTTAGGTTCCCAATCCCCAATGCTCTGTGTCTTGTGGGTAGTGTACCTTTAACCTGCAGACCATCAGCACTGGATCTTGGTTCCCGTCTTCCTTTCCTTTGTTTAGTCTTACCATATCCTTGTGAATGGTTGCCCTTTACCATTTATTAGGGCTCTGTTTTTAGAGCAGATGAAACTGAGAGAAGTTCCACAGCACAACGTGTGGGACGGGGCAGAACACTTGCTACAGTCTCTTAATCCTACTTCAAGTATATGCATTCCCCATCTCCTGTTTGGGGCCTGACTGAGTCTTTAGCATCCATGGAATCACTGCTGACTGCAAGAAAACAAGGTTGAGCTGACATTTCCCGAGCTGAAGTTTCAAGTATTTAAAGACAATGAATTCTTCCATCAAGAAGTAGGAATTGTAGGACAATAAGGTCTTGGGAGAGTGCAGGCAATTGCAATCAGGGACTGGAATAGGTCAGATACAGTGCCTACTATGCTGGCGGGGATGCATGTCAATAGATCCCTTCCATGTTTTGAGCTTATTTGGGAACAGAGATCTGTGCAACTGGTCTCAACCATTAGATCTTATTGCTATTTAGAGGGGGTGGGGATAGAGAGGGCTGGGGAGAGGAATGGACGTGAAGTAAGAAGTGGAAAGTTCCATATACATGGAGAGCAAGAACTGAGCCCGTTAAGGAGGTAGGCTGAAAACACAACATCCAGAGCTAGTGTGAGATCCCCTAGGATGATGTTAATGCCACTCCCTTTGGTGCAGGAGTTCCTGACCCCTGAGCAGCGGCGATTTGCTGTCCGGGGAGTTCCTACCTTGCTGGAGGTCTCAGGATTCTCCTATTTCTATGGTGCCTTCATGGTGGGGCCTCAGTTCTCCATGACAGACTATCAGAAACTGGCAAGGTGTGAGATGACTGACGTTCAAGGCCAGAGACCCAATAGGTAATAAAAAGCCACTTAGCTCCTCACCTTCCTAAGATCCCAGAATGCTGAATCCTCCACATGTTCCCTGCAGCAGAGTGCCTTCTTACCTGGACACTAAAGCACTGTGACCAAAATTGATTTATAAGACAAGGCAGTCTTTCAAAAGTCACTCACAACTCTTTGCTTAATGTCCTAGCATTGTTCCAGGGCATGAACATCAACAAACCATTTGACATCGTTAGTACAGACTCGGTCCCAACCTGGTGATGTTAGCATCCCAGCTTCCAAACGGTGGCATCTGCTGCAGTGGAACGTGGTGACTCCCTATTGCTATCTCCCCTACCTCCTCTTCTCCACTTCTGTTTTTAAAATTCTGAGTTCGATGGTCCCTTTCCAAGGCTTTTCTTTGACCTTTGTATTTTTCTTTCTCAGTTTTGTGCCTGCTCTCAAGCGCCTGAGTTTGGGTCTCTTGTTTCTAGTAACCTATACCTTGTCAAGCCTGTACATCTCTGATGAATACCTCATCTCAGATGATTATATGGTATGTATTCATTTGGCAGTTCTGGGGTGTGCAAGAATTCCACTTCTCTGGTGGGCACTGGATCTACAAGAGTGGATTTTTTTTTTTAGTTTTGCCTCAATTTAAAAATAAGATGAGGCAGCAACTAGTGATGAGCCTTTCCACAACTGATTTGGCTTTACTGCCTGTCCTGTGGATTCCATTTGATGCAGAACGGGAATGTGTTAAGCTAAGCTGAACTGAACCAAATGAAAACTTCTACAAATGAAGAATTAATCGTAGATGCTACTGTTGTTTTTGGAAACCTAACATCTGTATTTTGTGACCTTTTAATGACCTTCCATTTAAGCATTACATGCAAAGAACTTCACTAGAGCAACTTGCAAGGCTTATAAGAATCTTTTGAGGTTCTTAGAAAACTCTTAACAAGTAATTCCTACCTGCAGATGATCAGTGTTTCTGCATCAGTGTGAATAAATGAGGGTGTAAATTCTGCAATGATTATGCTAATCCCAGAGTCTTTCCAAAGGACCCATTTCAGTACAGCCAAGTGTTACCAAAGGAAGAGGAATATGTAAATTTGCATAAGCCAATAGCCTGGCAGTCCAGTCCATATAGCAGTCTCAAGACATACATCAAATTAAAATGAAAGACAGTGGTGAGAGCTCATCTACCTTGTCTCATTATTGCCACTCAACTCTGGTTTTTATTTTTATTCTCTTTCACTCTTATCTCTGCAGGAGAAGCCTTTCTGGTTCCGTTGTGGTTACATATTGATCTGGGGCAAAATTATACTCTACAAATACGTAACTTGCTGGCTTGTTACGGTGAGTCTAGATGTCATTCCAGAAACAAAAGACAAATGAACAAAGGTTGCACCTTTGCAGCTACTTAGTATGCTCTTGGGCTTAGCGCTAAAGAGGATCAGTGCAAGTCAGTTTAGCTTGCTTTAAGTTACCAAAGGCTAGCAAAATAAAAAGCAGGCAGTTTTTAATCCATTTGTTCCGTCTGCAGTGGTGCTTTCCACTCAACACCAGGAGAGAGCTTCCCCAGCTCTGCCTTTCCAAAAAAAAAAAAAAAAAAAAAAAAAAGGGGGGGGGGGGGCAGCAATGTTTTCCTCTCACCTTTCTTGTGAATCTTTTTCCATAGGAAGGTGTCTGCATCCTTGTTGGTCTGGGGTACAATGGGAAGGACCAGAGTGGAAAGCCTCTGTGGGATGCCTGTGCCAACATGAAGGTCTGGCTGTATGAGACAACACCTTTGTTCACAGGGACCATTGCCTCTTTCAACATCAACACCAACGCTTGGGTGGCCCGGTGAGCAGGACAAAATTCCCCTTCCATAATGTGTCAGTAACATCTGTGTCAACAGAACCAAGACCCTAGGCTGACAGGGAGCATCAGAGGAAGAATCTGCCAGTTTTCCCTTCTTACACTTTCTTCCACATTTTGCTGCTGTACCACTTGAAACAGGTTACTGGGTTAGGTAGATCTTTTCATTCAATCTAAAAGGGCACTTCATTAATACAGGCAAGCAGCTGATGGCAGAGGCTAGAACGGGACTACAGCGAGCCCTTTGGCCTGCCTGGTCGAAAAGCCACAGAGCTGCTCTAACAGCTGGTTCCCACATCACGCCTCTTGATGCTCCTTATGCAATGACTTAACTGGGTTTTGGTTTGGCACTTGCTGGGACACACAACTGAATTGTAAAATACCGTTTCTGTGTGTGTTGTCAGATGAACCACTTCTCCCCATTGGCTGGGATTTAAGACAAGGTACATTTTGCCCTGGTAAGGAGAGCGGTCTTGCTGTTTCTGTCACCACAGGGTGTGCAAAGGCATACGGTCCCCTGGGCCCTGCATCTCTGACACGGAGAGGGGAGGACAAACAATAAACTAGAAGCACTTTGTTTCTTTTCTGCTCTAGCTACATCTTCAAGCGTCTGAAGTTCCTGGGTAACAAACTGCTGTCACAGGCACTGGCCCTGTTCTTCCTGGCCATTTGGCACGGGCTGCACTCTGGCTACCTGGTGTGCTTTCAAATGGAGTTGCTTATAGTCATCGTTGAAAGACAGGTGCGCTTTGTCTGACTTACCAGAACGGGGTGGCCTGCATTAAGCCTTTCCCCACGAGTCTGGAAACGGCCACGCTGAAGGCTTTACTTGGATTAAATACAAAAAAATAGCTATTCACTTTGGAATTGGTTTTCAAACATGATACAGTTCTGTTCTCAGGAGTTCAGTAGGTTGCTGACTTCTGCATGGGCAAGCCATAAATTTATTGCAGAAGCTGACAGGAAGAAAAGTGGAGAACTTGGCATATGGGTACAGGGCAACTGAAGTGCTTGGCAGCTGCAAAGATTGGAGGACAAGCACATGAGCTGAATGCCTCTGCTAAATCTCCCAGTACTGAGAGAACAATATTCCATATTTAAATTGGTTTTATTTTAATTAAGACTCTGAGCAGAATGGGGTACGTGGCTACTTTTTTTAGACTAACTGCTTACTAAAATTCATTTTACGCAGCTGGATAGATAACTTTGGCCCCAGAGCCTGCATATATAGCCACGGGACATCCAACTGACAAGAATTATGTGTTTTTCTTTAAATTAGGTCATAAACCTTGTTCGGGACAGTCCTCCCCTAAGTACTCTGGCCTCCATCACTGCCTTGCGGCCCATTTTCTACGTCCTGCAGCAGACTAACCACTGGATGTTTATGGGTTACTCTCTGGTGCCATTTTGCCTTTTCACCTGGGACAAATGGATGAAGGTATTTAGTGGCTACAAACAGACAACCCGTGCAACCAACCCATTTCCCTCCATCCCCTCTCGTATGTTCTTGGCTCAAAGCTGCTTGCTGATCCTCAACCCTGCCTTTCTCTTTACAGGTGTACAGGTCTATTTATTTCTTTGGCCATGTGTTGTTCCTCACCTTATTATTGGTGTTGCCTTACATTCGCAGATTAGTTGTGCCACGAAAAGAAAAGCTAAAAAAAGCAGAATAACAGCCAAAAGGTAAGGCTGTACTAGGTAGCGAGAATCCCACACTTGGAGTAGGAGGTGAAGTGGGGCAGTAATGTTACACTCCAAGGTGAAAGCCAAACATAAAATCAACCAAAACAAATCTAGCCCTTTTCTCTTTTTCAGATTGTACCACCTGTGCATTTGTAGGAGTTGATTTAACACTCCGGAAGCAAAGCATCACCTGCCAAGTTTGCTGTGTTGAAGTATGACTTTTTTTTCAACGCGAGGAGGGGGAAAAGAGGAAGCCCAGGGTCAGAGACCCGAAAGGAGGGGAACGGAGTAAGCCTCCTTCCAGATCCTCCACCTTCTGTATGTTGCCTTATCTCTCTGCCGCCCTCCGGTGGACACTCGTGTCTCTCTGCTGATAACCAGGCGATTGTAAAACACTCGAGGCAGGCACTGTATCGGATCGGAGCCACCTTCTGACTTTTCTACGTTTGTCATCCGAGATAAAAATTGCTCCTGGTCTTTTTCATATCGGCTTCAGCTCCTTTCCTCTCGGGTGCCTCGGTGCGGGAGTGTGAACTGTCGCACCCCCACCGAGCAAGGTGATTCTTCAGGACTGAGCAGCATCAGCTGCAGGGCAAGCAGGGTACACCTAAGAATTTCAGTTCCATGACAAATTTGGGCTGAGTCCCTGCTATAAAGGGATTGAGCCTGCCCACGCATGGAACATGAGAAAGTAAAATACACAAGCACGCTTACCAAAAGGGACCTTTAATAGGAGGAAAAAGGGTCCACACAGCAGTCCATTTAAAGTGTCATTGCTCCAGAAGCTACAAGGACAAAATTGAAGCCTTTTCTCTTCCAGGAGCCCAGAGTTGCACCATGTCCACACCTAAGTAAAAGAGCCCTTGCAGAATGTGGAATCACTGTAAAGTCCACCATGACAGCAGTAGCAGCCGAAGCTCATACTACTCCCCAGACTTCCTCAAAGGCAGTAGTAATTTTGGCACATGTCAGGGCAGCAGAGAGGGGATAGTTGCTGATGGAGACCATCTTTTCTGTATAGTCAACATTAACCTGGGGGAGGAGAGAAAAATTAAGCTGCAAGTTTTCACTTAGGCCCATCTATCTCCATTGGTCAGAGAGGCACAACGTTTCTCCAGCAGACAACTGCTAGCCCTCACTAGTGCCCTCTCTTGGGGAGGGAGAAGAGTCCCAAGTGTTGCAGCATTGGGCCTTTTTTAACAAGCTTACCTGGGGGGGGGAAAGAGGGAGGAGGAGGAGGACCAAGCCAAAAAAAGAGCAGCAGGAGAAAAAAAAAAAAAAACATACTCAGCACAAGACTGAAATCTATGCTGATAAAGATTTTTACAGCTCCAAATAAGGGATACATGCACTTACCGAACCGTGGGCAAAAGCTCCCACAACAACGGCAACTGGCTCTGCTGTAGGAACCAGTTCACGCAGATCTGACACCTTTGGAACTGCAAAAGAGGTACCTATCTTCATACAGCCCACAGGGAGATGATCACTGACTGGATTTTTAATCACCTACAGAAAGCAGAAAGTTAATAGGGATGTAGAGGTAAGAGACCCTGTCACATAGTTAAGTCTGTTGTCCGTACAAAAAAAAACCAAAACAAACACCACAAAACACCAAAAACAAAACCACTCCTACATCACTAACTGCAAAGGAGGAATATTGTGACATTACCTGTGAACAGTCAAAGAATGTTTACCTTCAGCAATTTCTGAGGCCCATCAGCTGCTCGAACGCTGAGCTTATGCAGCAACTGAACTGACGAGAGAAGAAAATTACTTAAGCTATCTGTTCTTTTGTTGGAGGAATCCTATCCTCTACCTAGCAATCAGAGCTGAAGTAGACAAAAAGTCCATCTTTAGCGTTCCCGGCATCATCTAAAGCAGTCCTAAGAAATACTGATCAGTGAGTTACTTTGCTGCTAGCACAGTCTCATGCAGGCACTCCCCACTGCGCTAAGGAACTCATATTTGGACTATGCATCCTGGAACTCAGAAAACCCCACTCTCATTTCTCTGCTCTTTTCTCACTTTCACATTTTTAAGGTTAGTGCAACTTTTTAACTCTTCCCTCTCCTAAGCAGCCTCCTGCATTATTTTGTGGCTGGTATAAAGTTTGAATCACTTACCCATGAGACCACAGAATCGATCAAAAGTTCTTGGGATTCTGGTTTGGGGATTGACTTCTATTAGGACATTCTTCTGGGTATGGATATAAACCTGCAGAAGACCAGCCCGATTCAGTGGGCTGTCCATAAGCATCAGGAGACTCTGAAATAGAAACAACACACAGTAAGTGGAAATAGAAAAGGCACAAGACAGAGGACTCTTGGAAGAGTTGAGGGTTAGGCCCCACGAAGGCAGAAGGGACCGATGCTGAGACAGAAAGGAGTTCATCTGACGACACAAGTTCTACTGTAACACCGAGAGAAAGCAATTCCATACCGAAATAAAGACTAAACCTATATGCCACAAGCATAGCGGGCAGGGCCGCACTCCCCCAGTTCCAGGGCCACAAGCAGACGCCCCCCCAGACCCGGGGGGGGTTCTCCTCAAGCCGACCGCCGGCCTGCTGCCGCCGGTACCTGGTGGGTGATGTCGGGCCGCACCTCCCCGGGGTCCCGGCCGTTCCGCAGCAGCAGCGCCTTGTGCTTGTCGCAGTTGAGGAGCTCGAACGTCTTCCCCACCTACGGCCAAAGCACGGACAGGTGGGCAAGGCCGCCCGCGGCCGCCTTCGGCCGGACCGGACCGGACCCCCCGCCGCCCGCACCTTCACGGTCTCCAGACTCGCTCCCTCCAGCACCACCAAGAGCCGCCGCTGCCCGCGGGGCCGCTTCGCCTCCAGCGAAGCCTCTTCAGCTGCCGCCTCCTCTTCACGAGGCCGCCTGGGCGCCGCCATCTTGTTACCGCCGCACCGGGCAGACGTCACCGGAAGCACTGCCCCCGCCCCACCTCCTCTAGGGCCCTCCGCCGCGGCCACCCAAGATGGCGCCTGCGGCGTGCCCGTTATCTGCCTCCGGCCGGACCCACTTCCGGAGCGCCGCGCGGCCGCGCCGGAAGGCGCCGCCAGGGCAGGCGGTGCCCGCCGCGCCGCGGTTTCCCG